GTATATTGAGATCCATGTGTATCCAGATATATTTGTATATTGAGATCCACAGGTATCTGTGTGTATCCACACAGATTTGTATATTGAGATCCATGTTTATCCATACACATCTGTATATTGAGATCCACATGTATCCATATCCATTTGTATATTGAGATCCATGTGTATCCATACACATTTGTCTATTGAGATCCATGTGTATCCAGATATATTTGTATATTTAGATCCATGTGTATCCATACACATTTGTACACTGAGATCCTCGTGTCTCCAACATGAATTGGCTTTTCCCTTCTGTCAGCACTGACACACTGCAAGTTTAACTCATAAACCACGTTCAAAGCTCATCAATGGGGCAGTTTTCTCCTTTCACAGAATCACAGAATCTCCTGAGCTGGAAGGGACCCACCAGGATCATCCAGTCCAAGCCCTGGCCCTGCACAGACACCCCAACAATCCCTCCCTGTGCCTGAAAGCCTTTTCCAAACATTCCTCGAGCTCTGGCAGTCCTGGGGCCGTGACCATTCCCTGGGGAGCCTGTTCCAGGAGGACCCTGCACTCCAAAATCATCTCCAGCCCAGCCACATGACAGTAATTTTTCTGTCTCTCAAACATTCAGGATTTGGAAATGAAAATGCAACATTCCCATGTCACAGTGCAGTGACACGATTTGTCCATTGTAACAGCAAAAAACAATTGTTTATTCTGTTTATTAATTGTTTCTTCTGATGACAACTGCACAAAAGGACACACAGGCTACACTACTGCATTTGCAGGGTTAGATATTTGGATCCCTGGAACATATCTGCACTGTTAGAAACCACATTTAAGTCAGGTTCTAAATTAAAAAGAGCATTCAGAGCCTTATCAAGGGGGACTTACCTGAAAGCTGCCAGTAAGGGAGCATAAATGGAGTCTCCATCATACACATACAAGTGGTCCCAGCTGCACTCCGTGGCAAAGTGGTTGAACCGAAGCCTGAGGATTGTGTTTGGCCTGGAAAGAAAATAAAAATAAACAGATTAATCAAAATAAATAAAGGAAGGAAAAAATAAATGAAATATTTGTAATCAGCCAACTCATACACACACACAGGGCAAAACGCTCCTCCTCTGGTGGGATGCTCTGCCCTAAACCAGACTAAAACTGAGTGATTTGTGTCACTGCAGATGCATCAAACACGCTGGGGCTTAATTTTTTTGGGTGTGCAGTTCCCCTGGTATTATGCAACAGGTTCTTTATGGTCAGAAAACAGTGTCCTTAAACCTTTTCCCCCCATCACCAGCAGATACCAAAGAGCAGGACCAGCCAGCCCTCGGCTCTTCCCTGGTGCTGACTCTCCTAAGGAAAGGGCTTTGCAAAGAAAACCTCCATGGACAACACATGTGAAGAATCCCAGCCACCACCAGGGAATCAAGGAGAGCTCTTTCCTCGTTCAAGAGACTTTCTGCAGGCTGGTATGGTTATGATGGCCTGAGATGATGGATTTGCCCAGGAGTTGGCACCAATCCTTCTTCTCTCACTTTATTAGTTGTGCAGAACACACGGCCCTCCCGAGGGAAGCCCCTCCAAACTGCACGTCCAAACAAGTCAAAAGTCCCTCTCCAGCTCTCCTGGAGCCCCTTTAGGCCCTGCAAGGGGCTCTCAGCTCTCCCTGCAGCCTTCTCTCCTCCAGGGGAACCCCCCCAGCTCTCCCAGCCTGGCTCCAGAGCAGAGGGGCTCCAGCCCTGGCAGCAGCTCCGGGGCCTCCCCTGGACTCTCTGCAGCAGCTCCACGTCCTTGTGCTGTTGTTCCCAGGGCTGGAGCAGCTCTGCAGGGGGGTCTCAGCTGAGACAGGGGCAGAGGGGCACAATCCCCCCCTGCCCTGCTGCCCATGCTGGGGGATCAGCCCAGGGCACGGGGGGGTTCTTCGTGCCACGTGGAGCTTCTCACCGTGGTAAGACATCATTTGTTTCATGGTTAATGTGCAAAGATCCACCTAAAGAACATCCCAGAGAAGCCACAGCAAACACCTAATTTCGGGCTTGGCTCCAGGAGGGTGGAAACACCCCTACACTGTTCTTGGACTGCAGATAAATAAAAGTGAATCTGTGTCAGCACTGCTTGTTCCCACCCACAGCTGAAGCTGTGGAAAGGACAGATCCAAGTGATCAGGATCTCTCCAACAGCACTGCCCTTGGATTCAGATGAAATCCCTGTTCATCCTAACTGAACAAATCAATAATTTTCATTGTGCCAGAGTCGTTCCTTCCCACAGGAGCCGAATTCTTTTGGGAGTTATTGTGCAAGTTATTCTATTTTTTTTACAGGCACAACCATCTGCTCCAGGCCTTTGGAAAAAGAGCAGCAGGTGGAACTCATGGATAATGTCCTGCTTAAAAAAAAGAGGTACAAAGAGTAGCCATGGTCTCAGAACTACGGAGTCACAGGGTTTGTTATGGTCCATCAATAAAAGTTCAGATCAGGAACAAAAAGAAAGAGTCTTTTTGCTCCAGCCAACAACTCATTAGTGGACCCTCATCTGCACCATCCCAGGCACCTGGTTGGGCCTTGGGATCGTCAGGCTCCATGGATTTCACCTGCCTTGTCTCACACTCCTGGGGAAGAACAAATTGGGATTTTTGGGGATTCACCTCACACTGAGCTCTCCCAAAGCCCATCCCCTCACTTAACCCTGAAAAGCAACATCATGGAATTATAGAGTAATGGAATTACAGAGTAATGGAATTAGCCCTTTGGGGAATAAAATGATGGAAAATTGAGATGGATTTGGGAGGGGTTTGGGCCATTTGGGGCTTTTTTTTTGATGAACTGAGAGTTTTTATGGGAACAGCGACCTGAGGGAGGAGGGATGGGGATGACGCCTCACTCCGAGCTCTCCCAAACTCTATCCTGACTTAATCCTGAGAAACAACATCATGGAATGATAAAATGATGGAATTATTCCTTTTGGGAATAAAACTATGTAAAACTGAGCTGGATTTGGGGGGGGGGTTGGGCCATTTGGGTTTTTCTTTGGATCAACTGAGTGTTTTTATGGGAAAAGGGAACTGAGGGAGGAGGGATGGGGATGATGCCTCACTCAAGGACACCCCCAGGATGAGGGCACAGCACAGGCACCAGCCAAGAAGAGCCAGGAATTGTGCAGAAAGGAAAGGAGAACAGGAAGGAAAACGTGGCTTATTTTATACTGAATTTTTCAGTGCCTCCAATGGAGCACTGGATTGTACCTTTCCCTGCTAATCCCAAATCCCTCCAACACAGCCATGCCAGCACTCAGACCTGAACAGCTTTGCAGGCACTGCTTCCCAAGTCCAGATGTCTGGGAATTTTACTCTTGGCAGCAGAGCTGGGGCTCTTTGCACGTGGCTGCATTTTCCAGCTGCTCTAATCAGCACCATTATCTCCTCTCTGTTCCCCCACCCTCCTCTGACAGCAGGGGACAAACAGGAAAAGGATTCCAACCAAAAAGCCTGGCCATGGAACCCAGAGGAATGTTTTTGTCTCTTTAGCAATGAAACATCTCACTTTAAACCCCACAAAGTGATGGTTTTCTAGGAAAACCCCTCAGCAGAAGCAACCCAGGCTGGAGGAGCAGTTTTGGGGACTTTATCAAGGTCTCAGGGGCAGCACCTCACTTCTGATAAAAATATGAGTCAGGATATCCTTTAAAAACAGAAGTTGGGATGGTTGATCTGGCTGTGCTAGAATGGCTCAGGCTGGTTTGTCTGGAATAACATTCTTGTGAAACATTTTTTAATTATTTCTAATTGCCAACTCTCTGCAGTTGGGTTCCTCTTACCTACAGAAATTAAAAGGTGTTGCCACTTGGAGCAGCCAACTTTTGATCTCAACCACCTTAAAGGACGGGGCTCCTTCACATAGTTAATGGTGAGTGGTTGGCTCCCAATTCCAGGGTTCTGGATGGCTCTCTGGAACAGCTCAGCCCTCAGCTCGGAGTATCTTGGGAGCTCAGGAATTTAACTTCCTCATACCAAACAAATGGCTGAAGTAGATTCAGTGAATACCCATTTCCCCCAAGCCCCAGTCAACAGATCTCCCAAACATGGAATCACAGAACGGTTTGGGTTGGAAAGGAACCTTAAAGAACATCCAGTTCCACCCCCTGCCATGGGCAGGGACACCTTCCACTAGACCAGGTTGCTCCAACCTGGCCTTGGACACTTCCAGGGATCCAGAGGCAGCCACAGCTTCTCTGACCAACCTGGCACAGGGCCTCAACACCCTCCCAGCCAACAATTCCTTCCCAATATCCCACCCAAATCTCCCCTCCTTCAGCTTAATCCATTCCCCCTTGTCCTGTCCCTCCATGCCTTGTCCCCAGTCCCTCTCCAGCTCTCCTGGAGCCCCTTCAGGCCCTGCCAGGGGCTCTCAGCTCTCCCTGCAGCCTTCTCTTCTCCAGGGGAACCCCCCCAGCTCTCCCAGCCTGGCTCCAGAGCAGAGGGGCTCCAGCCCTGGCAGCAGCTCCGGGGCCTCCTCTGGACTCTCTGCAGCAGCTCCACATCCTTGTGCTGTTGTTCCCAGGGCTGGAGCAGCTCTGCAGGGGGGTCTCACCTGAGACAGGGGCAGAGGGGCACAATCCCCCCCTGCCCTGCTGCCCACGCTGGGGGATCAGCCCAGGGCATGGGGGGGTCTCGGCTGGGGCATCTCCAGCCTCTCACCCACCAGCACCCCCAAATCCTTCTCCCAGGGCTGCTCTCCATCCATTCTCCCAGTCTGTGTTTGTGCTGGGATTGCCCTGACCCAGGGGCAGGACCTGCACTTGTCCTTGTTGAACGTCATGAGTTTCCCACATTCCCACCTCTCCAGCCTGTCCAGCTCCCCCTGGATGCCCCATCCCTTCCCTGCAGCCCGTGACCACACCACACATTTCGGGGTCACCAGCAAACTTGCTGAGGTGCCTCAATCCCACTGTCCATGCCACCCACAGGAGAAGACCAAGGAAAAGTGTGCTCTGGGTTTTAGCCAATTTCTGATCCTCCAAGATGCCAAGAGGCCTCAGTTTACAGCATCCACTCCAACTCCATGCTCTCTCATGACTTGTTCCAGTTCACTGACCTCCCTACTTCCAGATCCAGGGAACAACACGGAATGTGACCAAACACAGAGCTGTCACCACACAGCATCACACCCCACCACTGAACAGCCTTAGAGACCCCCAAAAAAATGGATTTTCCAGTCCTGGCATCAGCTTGGTTCTATGAAAATTGTATTTCAACAAGTTTAGATGCTCCCAACTGCTGCACCATCCATGGGGTGACAGAGGACGGGCACCAAACGTGCTGCTCCTAAAAATCTCTGCAAAACAAGGATCAAATCCAGGAAGGGGAGGAAGTGAGGTCTGAGGGATTTATCCCAGTTAAGAAAAGCTTTGTAAAACAGGTCAGTGGTCCTTGTGAAGTCCTCATGGCCCAGTGAGTAAAGAAGCATTTAAAGGATCACTCCAAAAACTGATTTTTCATAAACAGGAGCTTTCAGAGAGTTTCCTCTTTTTTCCACACAGCCAAAAATCCCGTGTGTTGTGACATTGAATGGTCCCCTCTGATACCAGTTCAATAATTCCCAATCCTTCACTACTTACACAAACACACTGATTTTTGTTTACCACGTGCTGTTTCAACACAAACCTCTCAATCCCAAGTCAGTCTGGAGGGCTCAGTTGCACAAAAACACCCAAAAACTTATTTACTGAGCGCTGCCCTATTCAGTTTTAGGAACAGCCAGAAAGAACTACGAGACACAAAAATATTTAACGCAGATAAACCTCACCTAAAAGCCACCATAACCAAGAGGAAACCCCAGGCTGTTCCCAGCACTCACCTTCCTTCAATGAGCCAGGTGCATTTTGTCTTGTATTTGTAATTCCCAGGCCCATCCGTGACGTACCCCGAAGGTTCAGTGAGTCTGGAAAGGAAAAACAAAGGCAAACATTAGTTTTCCATTCAGAGATGATTTCCTATGTTTTTGAAGATCCATCATGAGATTTTTATCTATTTAAGAGCTACTACAACCAAACCAAGCCCCAGCTGGGATTCTCCTGTGGAAGTCTCTATACAGGTTTTCCCATGATTTTCCTGACACCTTGAAGGACATCACTCCAGGAGGGATGGTTTCTCCATCAGATGGATGTCGTGGCTCCCAAGTCCATTTGGAGGGATACACCACACATAACCAAAAAGGAATTCCCCAATGGAAAAGCCAAAATTATTCTCAAGCTATTTATTTATACAAATTGTACCATTCTTGGATGAAGCTCAGACAAAGTCCATGGTGTGACCTCTCACTCTTTCTGTGTTTGAGTCTCCACAAACTCCTTGACAACCTCCTGGATGGAGGAGTGACCCCCAAAGCACATCCCTGCAAGTGGATGGGGCTTGGAGCAACCTGGGATAGTGGAAGGTGTCCCTACCCATGGCAGGGGGTGGAACAAGATGGTCTTTAAAGTCCTTCCCAACCCAACTCAGCTTGTGATTCTCTGATAACCCTCTAGTGCAAAGTAAGACCTTAATTCCTCACACATCGAGGGCTGCAAAACTCAGGACAACCTCAGAGCATGGAATTTCCAGGCATCTC